CTGCTGATCACGACTGAGAGCAGCTGATCGTTTCCCTGTGGCTGAATAAAACGGATTTGTTTGGCAGCACTCAGTGGGAAAGTAAAAGGAACAATGGGGATCTAAAAAGGAAAAGGACTAGGGTCACTGGAAATATACACACAATAAAATATGTGGCTTGATCTGATGGTGTGCCCTGAAGATCCCCTCACACCATGTTAGCTAACGCAAACTGTTGTTGTTCATGTAACTTTGTGTAACTTAACGGTGCGACGAAGGAAAAGGCTACAAACTTAACATTTAGAAACCAATTTCTCTTCACGTTTGGCCCAGCAGTGTGACCAAAGAAACTCTAAAAATTTTAATCTGACAAGCCAAACACCTTCCGCAGAAACGTTTTATAGTCAGACGAAACAATCATTTAGCTTTTGGGTCTAAGTGACACAGACTATGACTGAAGGATTAAAAGTTGTGGCTTTCAAAACAAATGCTGCCAGAACTAACTGTTCAGCATGGTGGTGGCAGCATTATGCAGTGGTGCCGTTTTGAAACCAGCAGAACTGCATTTTGTTTTTCGCAAAATCTGTCAGCTCTGCCTGAAGTGTGGTATAATGTTGCTGCAAAAAAATGGCCGTTTGAGGTTCAGTTTGTTAGGAAACAACAGACTAAATAAGTCTCCAAACATTTTCACAATCTCAGAACCAATACTGGATGCATCTTAACTGATTTCTTGTTCCACACGAGGATTTATTTTTGGATAAAGAGAAAGATGTTTGAAGTAGATGAAGAAATAAACATTAACTACTTGCAAACTGCAAATAAATCATTGTGAGGCAAATTATTGCTTTAGAAGCTGATTTCCATTTTAAATAACTGAGTTAAAATGTTTAGCTTCTTTTGGAGCAAAAGATCCTGGAGTGAAATTTATATTCTGCTCACTTATCACAAAATATTCATCAAACCATATTTAAAGGAGACAAAATATAAAAATACAACAACTATTTGAAATAATATGCAGCGTTTCAAAACTTCACATGGTGAAATAGCTGACTATTTTGGTCATGTAAAAAGATAAAAATCACAGCTTTAACTACTGATAAAACAAATAAGTAGACCACACAGATTTTATTAACAAAAATCCTCCTTTTTTCCATCATGAAAACATAAAGCAAGCATTGAATGTCAGTTTTTCCTCTGATAGCCGTTATTTAGGTGCTCCAGTTGGCAGGACGTTGGGCTGTTTGGCAGCAGCGAGCGACTCTGAGGAAATGTGAGAAAAAATCCCCCTCAAATCTATTAGATGTTAAAAGACAAAACAAGAAAAGCTTTATCACAAAATGTAATTTCTTTAGGATAAGGCAAACAGATCACGTGCTGGAGTAAAAAACAAATCAGGAAACCGCTGGTGTTTTTGCATAGAGTGTTTGGGAAGTTTGTGGTGTGAAAGAAAGAAAAAAGGACATCGGAGCGCATTCAATCCAAACAGCGTTTCCTACCTTGGCCCGTTACCGCACAAAGCCAAAACCGCACGGCGCAGGCCTCGCAGTCAGGAGGTCTGCGTTGGGCGCGCTTGCTGCGAGGCCTGCGAAGACGGCCGGGTCAGTTTCAATTAGTGCGAGAGCGACGAGAAAACAATCGTGGCTAAACAAAAGAGGCTGGAGCGGGGCAGAGACGGAACCCAAACACGGCGTGGATGCAGGACGGCACATCCTGGATGCGTGGGACGCATGCGGCTACGCGGCCATGCAAGACGCTGCCAAGAGGCCAAACAGTGGGATTAGCTGAACACAACACTGACGCGTTGGCCTGCGTCTGCATGAAGGGGAGCGAAGGCGCTGTAAACAGTTTACAGGGGAACACGGGGTTACTGCTCCGGCTGTGTGTTTACACAGAAATACTGTGGCTTTGTGATGGGTCCACTCCTCTCTGATTGAGACAGTATCAACAAAGACACACACACACGCGCGTGCACACACACACACACACACACGCACACACACACAGAGCGGGAGCAGAAGGTGCTGGTTACGATTGGAGAACTGGATGAGGAGACTGAATTTCACAAACATGTTAAACAAACCAATGCAGTCCAGACATCACTTCATTCCTCCTCTGCGTTTAACAAAGTTTTTTTCATTTCAGTTTTTCAGAATAGTTCAGATAACGCTAAAGAAATTTATATCTAAAAAAACTCAAAAGGAGATGTGGTGAAAAATGACTTCTGGGAAACATTTGTAGGTTTAGTTGATTTTTTTCCTGAAATTGTGATAAAAATATATATATATTTTTTTCACTACAGCCACATCTCTTGTCCTGTAGTGTTAGAACATTTTCAGGTGATTGCTTTTTGTGCTCATTTTAAAACCTTTTCCTAAAACAATTTTATTTTTATCACGTTAAAGATCTTTCCAGTTTGCTTCTCCCTCAGACTGGAACCAGCTACAGCAACTGATTCTGTAGTTGGTGCAAATATATTTACTTATGAGTTCTGCAGAACCAGAACCAGAAGAAGCAGCATTCAGCTTCTATGCATCACAGATCTGGAACAAACTTCCAGAAAACTGCACAACAGCCGAAACGCTGAGATCCTTTAAATCAAGGCTAAAACCTCACGTTACTTTTGATTGATAATTATTGGAACATTGATGAACATATCTAATGTGTATTGATGATTTTTACTTGAAAAGCTTTTGACTCTATGATGCGTTTGATGTTTTCATGACGTGAAGCACTTTGAAGTGCCTTGTCGTTAAAATGTGCAACACAAATAAACTTGATTGATTGATCGATAGTAACGTAAAATCACTTCATCGCCGCTGAAATGCTTCCTCTGCTCTCTCTCTGATGGTGAGTTTCACACCAGCTGCTCGGTATGGAAGACGTTTCTTGTTCTGGAGAAAGACTCCAACATGTTGGCTAACAGTTTTTGTCTCACGATAAAACAATTATTGTTTCCTGAACGCGGCGAGGCGCAGCTGCAGAGGGAATGGACAGTGCGGCGGTGAGTGTGTGTGAGTGACAAACTGCCTCCCTCTGAGAGAGACTCTGATTGTACAGACTGAGTGGCTGTGTTTGATAATGGTTTCCATTAACCTGGGCTGAGTTGGAGGACCTGTGAGACTCTCCATTCATCCCTCCCGTCTCTCACTCTGTCGCTCTCACACACCACAAGCAGAGGAAACCTGAGAGTGAGAGCGACACGAGAAGAGCGGCATTTTCACCGCACCGTGCTGAGCAAAAGGGTCTGAACTTCCTCACAAAAGCTGAGTGTACTCCCCAACATTTGGCTCATCCAAAACATTAGAAGTCCTTCTGCGCTTTGGAGACGTGGCCCATGAATACGTCTTACTTTCTACATTAATAAAGGTTTCAGCCAAGAGAGCAGAGGAGACGGCTGAAGAAATATGGGAGAGCGCTGGGAAGACTCAGAGGGGGAAAAAAGCTCTTTCTTTTCTGAATCTTTACCTGGAGTCTCTTTATTAGAGCAACATGTGGGCAGCATAATGCCCCTCTGCAGTGCTTTGACTAGAACTAGGATGTGGACATGCGCAGCGATGGCTGGAGCAAACGTATGTCATGCAGCAGTGAATAGGAACAGGGGAGCTAGTGGAGCAATTATAGCAGAAAAGCCATTAGGGGCCAGGGGTGACTCTTTTAGATGATCACAGCCGCTGACTAATGGACAGCCATGTTTACTCACTCGTTCACTTCCTAGATTTATCCCTTCCAGCTTTCCAAAAATGACTGGAGAAGAGAAAATCCAGATTTCTGAATGTATTGGGGATAGTTTTAAAGGTGTAGGTGAGTAAATACAGATGTTTTCTTCCATGCAGCCCAGAAAGTCCGACTTACTACCGACTTTCTAAGCAACATGGCCTGGATTTCTAGGTGTATCCAAGGCGTTGAGGGGATCCGTTGGCTTCATCAGACAATATGGATGTACATGCATTACTGGGGTGGACGTCATGTGTCACACATGAGACGTTCACTGCAAAACCACAAAATCTGACCAAGAGAGAATCTGAAAAAGTGACGCAGTGTTTTGCTATTAATGGCCAACATTACATCAACTAGATAGCAACAACCATGAGTATCACATTTCACAGTTTAGGTAAAAGTTTTGGAAAAAAAAAATAGTGAGGAAGAGGGAACCGGGTCGGTTATGGTAGCTTAACTCTGAAAACCGTCACATGGAGACGTGCTGCTCAGGTCGGTGCGTTTCAGTTTAACACACCAACTTTGACGGATTAGTAGTAGAGCAGTTTGGGGGCGTTGATTGTTCAGGCAATCACTTATCAATAATCACAAAATAAATACCAAATATAAAGCAGTAACAGGCAGAATGTTCTGTGCTTCGTGTTGAAAATGTTTGCATGGATTTTTTTGTGTTGATTCCTGATACATTTGAATGCAATTTCTGCTCTGTCAGCCAGTGGAGCTGTTGTCAGTCGGTTGCCACAGCAACGGGTGTGCGTGTGGAGTAAAGCAGAAGACACAGAACGCAACAATAAATAAATACGAGTGGCTTTGAGTTGTTGTTCTGCGTTGTTTTCCCTTTGCGGTGTCTCACTGCAGCCGCTGTAATTTCTGAAGGTTCAATAAACAATAAAAACTGGACTAATATGCTCCTTTGTTTGAAGAACATTTTGATTTTCTGAACAATCATCAAACACAATGAAATGTTTCAAAGTATTAAACAAGTTATGACTCCTAAAGTGACAATTTTGTAAAATTTAAAAGAGAAAAGGAGAAATTAGTTTAGTCATCTCTTGCATCTTGACAAAAAAACAAACTGTTTTATATCTAAGGAATGTACATATTTTACATATTAAAATCCTTAAACTGGATAAGAAATACAGGTGCTGTGACCATTTTTGTGACATTCATACATCTGAACAATGTGTTTTTGTGGACACGACCTGGTGCCTGCAGGTTCGAGTCACTAGCTTTAGCGGCTAATAGGCGCTACAGGCACAGTACATGCAGATAACCAACCCAACGCGACAGCTGGGCTAGTCACAAAACGAATACATTTAATTTTTATTTACATAAGAAAGTAGTTCATTCTGTTTTTGGAAATCAAAGAACAGAAGAATCCATAAGACGTTTCCCCTCCTTGAGTATTAAGGTTCTGCGGTCGGGTTCTGATAATAATCCATCGCAATCTCTCATCAGTTATTTGAGCCACAGGTCTTCCTCTGTTGCAATTATGAGTCTGGAATTATGAGATGGTCCTATATTGACCTGACATGTTGGAAAGAAGGCAGTGAAGCATGCCGCCTCGTCTCCGCCCAGTGCGTTCAGATGAAGATGTGGACACAAGGTTGGTGAGAAGAAGAAGAAGATCAGTGATGCAGAACTGAGAAGACAGTTTAGTTTCAGGAATTATTTAACCCAGCATCAGTGGGATATTAATCAAACCCATGCAAAATATCACTTTCAGTCCACAGCAGCCTTAAAATAGAGTTGTGTGTGTGAAGAGGAAGGTTCAGTCTAGATAACAGAGTCCAGGGTTTAAGTCATAGATTATCTGCTGTAGGTACTTTTCACACCTGATAGTTCAACTTTTGTCTGCCTCCTTCATCCTTTTTCCATGAGTTATAAAATCTGCTAACATGTTTAACTAAGAAACCACCAAAGTCCAAAAACTTTAAAAGACCTTGAGGGAAGCAGAAGAATGGAGGTTTAAAAAGTGAGAATGATTCAACATTTCTGCGTACCGTAAATAATCTAAACGAGGAACAAATGTCTGCTATAGTAAAACTATATACTTCCTTCTACACATTACTTCTAGACAGTCTACTTCTAGACAGTCTACTTCTAGACAGTCTACAACTTTTCAGTAACTGAAAAGTTACTTGTAAGTTAGTTTACTCTTATTTCAAGTGTACCAAGATATTTGCAATAGCAACTAGACCAAAATACTTTTTGCAGTGTAGAGGGTTTTCAAGCATACTAAGACTTTCTGAGTCAGATTCAAGTCCCTGCTTTAACTATGCCACTCTAAATTGCTTACGGGATTAGAAAACCTCTCGCTTCGAGAGTCTTGCTGACCTCTGATCGCTTTTAATTGGAGAAATGTTCCCCGATTTCAAAACTTTGCCTGAAGTGGTGTTTGTAATTCCAGTCTTCAACTTGGCAGCAGATCCAGCAGGAGGATTCATCCTCCAGATCATCCGGTCCATGTGAACCAGGAGGAAGTGAGGCTGTGGGTTCGGACCACAGCAGGAGAATATTGCGTCTTTTAAGTTCATTTGTTTAATTTTATTGTTTGTGTTTAGCTATTACGACCAAAGTCAGTGGATTTTGGTTACATGCAGCATCTGCTTGATGTGATTGTACAATGTAGTCTCTCTATTAATTAAAATGAAATACTATTGAATATGTTATTATTTTCCTTTTAAAACTGATGGGGTAAAATTTTTTATTTTTTACTCCATCAGACAAAATGACAGAAAATTCAAAAGTCTACACCATCTCTGGTCTAAAGACTCTTAAATAATGGGTATAATTTTAGACATTCTGGTGAAGAGAGGAACCAAAGCTCGATTACTTCATGAGAGTTACCCCTGACACTCCACACTATCCAAAATCTTACCTGTCAGGTGTTTGTAATTGTAAAAGTTTCGGCTTTGCACACATAAAAACTTTTTAAAAACCCAAATTAACTTGGTGAGTTGGCTCTAAAACAGAAAAACAGAAGCTTACCTTCAGGGATGTCAGAGGAGAGGAAGAACACATGTAAAAGAGACAAAAAAGGAAGAATTTTAGTTTTCACATTTGTGAAAATCATTTTTATTATCAATTTGTTTGGTTAAACCCTTAACTATCTGCATTTATTTCTTTAGCAATGGATACAAACACATGCTACATAAAATCATCGCTGAATTGACTAACCTTTATTTAAACACAACCATAAATGTACTTAAGTACAAATTTAGCACATTATACTGCTGGATGATAAATTGTCCCATAGATTATTGTGATCAACGATAATATTGTTGTTTTGAGACAATTTTCAAGTAATATAATGATAGTAATGACATAAGAATGTAAAATCCCATTTTCAAAGATCAAGAAACTTTAAATTCTAATGAAATTGGAACTGGAAGATTGAAATATCAAAAATAAATAAAGAAAACAACAGAAACAACAAATAAAATGAATTATGAATTCTCTGTAAACAAAACTGTCATTTGAAAAACAAGAGCTAGTTGAGACCAAACCAGCAGACTGAAGACTTTATCATTCAGTTTTTGATCATAAAGAAAGAGAAAGGATAAAGATGACAAATAAAGGAAATTGAAATTAGTTTTAATTGATTTATTACTTATTGCGACAGGCTTAGTGCTAGCTACAGTATAGGAGAGAGGAAGAGGAAGGATGAGCATTGCCACAGGAAGGGTGATTGACAGCGCTAAAACCCACCCTCCCAGCTCTGATTGGTTGTTTCTAGTCAGAAAGCATGCTACATAGTAACAGTTTCAACATATACATAAAAATACATATGTTTTATGAAAGTTGCATGCTGTAGCTTTAATTTTTAACAGATTTGACCTTGTTTAGAAAGAAAAGCATCTATAGCTCCACTGTGCGATCACAGGAGGCAAGCGAAGGGTTAAAAACCTGGAGGTGCATATTCAGGAGACAACCTCAGTTCGGATGAGCTGTGCGGCTGCTCTTGTGGCGGTAATGGGAAAATTGCACTGAGAGGAAGGACACACGCAATTAGAATCTGGCGAGTCAGTCGGTGGCGGGCGGAGGAAGAGGAGGGCGGGGGGAGGAGGAAGAGTGAAGAAACGGGAGACAGGGACAAGCAGGGAGGACCCAACGGACAAGAAGTGATTTACTTGAAAAGCGGCTTTTTTTGTGACAGCGGCCCAGATGTCAATCAAATTAGCGCCCATTTGCAGCTGATTGGGTCGTGTCATTTGCAATATCCTCTCCCTGCCTCTGATGCTGTGGCACACAGAGGGGCTGGGGGGGGGAGGAAGCCAGGAGGAGAGTCACTTTATTGCAGTCTTTCCCTGTGAATGTCATCTGCCCACTTATTGTGCGCTCCGGTGGGACACCGAGGAGGAGGAAAGGAGGAAGAGAGGAGATCCTTCATTCGGCGGAGTGGCTCACTAGCACATGCAAATAGGGCAGCAGCGTCAGGGGAGAGGCTGGCGCGGGTTTTAATGGAGTTGGGGCAAACTCATTTTACAGCGGAGAGCCACAGAAGAGGAGGATAATAATATAGCCATGTGTGTGTGTGAGAGAGTGTGTGTGCGCAGCATGGAGTTTATAAGATACTAAGTGAATTCTTGTTAAAAAAAAAAAGTGTCCACAGCAATCTGAGTTTGAGGGAACACTGATTAAAGGCACTAAGACGACTAAAACCCCTTCATCCTTCTCTCATTTCACTTCATTTCCAGTTGTGCTGAATATAAAAACTTGGCAGGTTGCTTGGATACCCCAAACACAGGAGGAGAACAGAGAAAAGGTGTCCTGATTGATGCTGTTTGATTCAATTTCCAGCCTGTGGAGACGTTTCAGGGCCCCAGGGGCCGGTGCGTCTTCACAGGGGGGAACACGGTGGGTACGAGAGTCAGGGAGGGGGGCGCGCTAATTTGAGATGCGCCTTTCAACAATGAAAGCTGCTGATGTTCAACATACACTCCCAAACCTCTTCTAAAGGACACGTCTAATTGGCTTGAAAGGGAAGATGGAGCAGGAGGGTAACGCTTGTCTTTAACGTTTGCCCCAAACACACGGGAAACGTGACGGCGTCTGAAGGTTTCTAGAAACAAAAGCCTTTTGATCACGTTCCAGATTTTTAATGCGCCTCACATATGCAGGCTTGTTGAAGAGAAGCATGAACCTCGTTGGTTTTCACGGCTCTAAACAACAACATTTAAAAAATTTTCAAAAATATCTTTGGTTTTCATGTCATCAAACTGTCCTAATCAAAGGCTTTTCATCTAGATGCTCTTTTAAAGTCTATCTTTGGACTTTGGCTGCTTTTTTTACACCATAAATCTTTACCATCCCATTGTGCAGAAAACAATTCAGAAAATGACAAAACTGGACAAGACTGGGACAAAGATGAGACATCAAACTGCAGAAACAAAATAGTACAAAGAACTACTGGACTAGTTTCTAATGCAAATATCTTAGTGTGCTTGAAACACCACAAAATTAACTCACAGCTTTTCAGTACAACATATGAGCTTGTTTTAAGTTAATAATTTCTTATTAATGAAAAAGTACTAGTTCCACTGGCAGATTGTTTCACTTATAACAGGAAAAATGTCTTTTTATATAGGAGAAAATCTGCGAGTTGAACTTGTACTTTTTTAAATTAATTAATGTTTTTTTAAATTAATTAATGTTAATTTATTAACATTTCTTAATGTTAATAAATTAACATTAAGGAATTATTACCTTAAAACAAGCTCCTATGTCGTGCTGAAAAGTTACTTATAAGTTAGTTTTGTCTTTTATCAAATGTACTGATATTTGTTCTAGAAACTAGACCAAAAATTACTTGCTGATATTTTGTGTTTTTACAGTGCAGGACTGAAGACGTAAAGGAAGCAAGAACTGCATCATTTTCCAGCTAATCAACGACCGTAGGCCAAAATTTAAGCTAAATTTGGGAATCACATTGTTGCTGCTGGATCCCATTTTCTGTCAAATTATGTTATTTTTAGAAATTTTACTTAAGAAATGGGAACAATTTGTGTCTTTTACCAGACTTTAAGAAGCCCTTTATGTTTCTGGTCTGAATAATTCAGCGACTTTTGGTTCTATTTGTCACACACAGTAGAAAGAAAGGCAAACACTGAGCGTATTTATATATACATGATGAATATCAATAGATAACACAGCTGATAGAGTGTTCAATATTCAATATGTAGATTATTGACTGACCTCTGAGCCAAAACTGCACAGCATTCTGGGAGATGTAGGCAGAGGAAAGGCTTTAGCCGCTCAACTTCTCACAGCTAGCAAAGCTCAGTAACTAACTCACTCATTCTTTGGTTACCTGGCAACTCACTCATTCTTTGGTTACCTAGCAACAACCTGCTGACTAACTTGTTTCACCACCGTTCCTCAAAAAAAGTGAAAACTGTGAAGGGAAGAAAAAAAAAAAAAAAAAATCACTCCACATGGTAGCATTTAAGATATTTAAGACAAAAACCAATTGATAATTATAGATATCAACTGATTTGAAACACTTATATTGTGATACGTTTTTCAGCCATATTGTCCAGTTTTAACTGAAGACCTTTTAGAAAGCCTGGAAAACCACTGATTAAGAAAAATGTAAACATATTCACAGAAGTTTGGCTGTAAAAGGCTGAAGACTTCTGAACGGAGCTGATCTCAAGACACCCTCTCTGCTCTTTGACAACCGAGTACTATATATGGAAATTAAACTAAGGTGCGTTTTATTGCATGCAGCCACAACTACAGTTAACATAACACGGCCAGCGCTTGATGAACAGCAGGAAAAGGCGCCATTCAGGTGCCATTCAGTTGTCAGGTCCCAGCGAGAAACTAAAAATGCAGACGAAGGCTTGTGAAGAGGCTCGATCTCTCGCTCTCTTTCTCACTGACACACACACACAGACACACACACACACACACACAGATGGTGGGTGGAGATTTGGGCCTGTCACTGCACCATCAGTGACTCCTTACGTTTAATGCCGGTCCTGTCACAACAAGACAGAAGGGGAATGAAGTGGATCACCTACAGGCACCACACCTCGCCTGGTCTCTCTTTTCCACTGATCTGACTGAACGCAGGCGAGACAATATGACACCGTTCAGCTCACATCCAACCATCAAACACACGCGGCAGCTGAAGAACCACGAGTACGGCCTTCTGTTGTCACGCAGGAGGTTTCTGGAGACCAGAAGAAATGGTAGACACCCAGACAGAGGGAGCGGTAATCACTGTCTGCGTGTAAATTACCTGAGTTGATTTCAGTCCAATCTGTCTCAGTGTCTCTGGAGGGAGGAGTCATGTGTGCGTGGGGATGACATTTACCAGAATCCACAGCCTCCCAGGCCTATTCCCAGTTGGTAGAGACAATCCTTCAAGCAACACCAAGACAGATATAATAGCCCAGAGAAACGCGCCTCCTTCCTTCCTAAATGATGACCACATAGCCTTCCAATCTCTTCTAGATCGTCAGCCCCCAAATTTCTTTAATGGGCTATTAGAAGGGAACCCATGTGCTTTTAGTTTGTGCCTTTGATTGTTGGTTTGACTCAACAATGCCAAAGAGCGAAAAAGAAGGGAAACATGAAGGAGGAAAAGGAGAAAGTTAATGTCAGGATGTGCCCCATAATGACTAGTATAAGCTCTAGTGGGAGCTTCCTCTCGCGCCAGTTCCAGAGAGGGTAGCTTGATTGGGGATAATTGGCTAGCCTTCACTAGCGGTTAGCATCCAGGCGTGGAGAGAAGGAGAGGGCACACAGACTTACCACACACACTCAAACAGACACACAGTTTTATTCACACATGCACAAACAGTATATAGACATTTTCAACTTGAAGTTCATTTGCAGGGACACAGAGAAAAGAGAGCAGGTTAGTGCGGAGAGGCAATGTCCAGAAATTAGCCAAAGTGCTGCTGTACCAGCTTGGGTACAACTGCAAGTGTCATTTTTTCAGTAAGAACCACCCCAACATCTGTCGGAGCTGCTGCGTTCCACAGAAAACGGTTTGGGATGTGATTAATTCAAGCTACAGCCCCTTACCACTGTGCTGTTGCACACAAACTGATCACATTAGGGATGTTTTGCATGCTGAGTGCAGCAAACATTTAATAGGTGTGCAAAGTTGCATTTCTCCCAAGCCCTCAAGCTTCTATTAATCAAAGTCTAAAAGCAAAAGCTACCAGCAGGTCCAAGATGGGAAGAGACGCTCGTAAAACAACACACACTCCCCCAAGCTCAAAGTCCACACACGCGCGCACACACACACACACACACACACACACACACACACACACACACTTTCCTTTTCAAAGAGATAGCTGTGGAGAGCCACCCACTCCCTCGCTCCTCTGTTGTGCCAGCTGCAGTCCCGTTAGAGCTTTACTGCCCTCCAGCTCCAGTGACTGGAGGAACCACATGTTGACAACCAGCGAAACACAGAAGTTCATATTGAAAGCAGCGTCTACTCAGCAGGGCAGGAGTGTGAGGTGCCACAGGGCCGTGTACCGGTTTACTGAAAACTCTGGGGAGCAATTCAGTGAAAACAGAAGTTGTAAAGTTATTGTTTTGGTTTGAAGGTTCGTGCTTGTAAACTGAGGGATAAGATCAGAGAAGGATTTGACTAAATTATAACCATGCAGGCTGACAGAAGCTAAAGAGGGAAGGGGGCATTTATCTTATTGTTCATAATTTATAGGGATGCATTTATCGTTTGCTCAATCAAATGTCAATAAAATTGAAAATATGTTTAAATGCAGTTACGATTTGCAGTTCACGCTTCGCATTACAAATAGGAATGTTTTTCAAGAGCAGTATTTGTGTTTGTGAGGCTGTAGTTGCTGTGACACAGTCGCAGTAATATATGCTACCTAAAAAGAAGTAATAAATATCTTAATAAACTTAACTTAAAAGTTAAATAGCAACAACATATTGAAGAAATAAGAAATACAACTATGCTAATAACAAAAGCATTTTAACAGAGGTTCTAACTTTTAGGTAAGGTCAGCAAAATGTATTAATTAATCATATGTTGCACAAAAAACAATAAGTCATTCATTAAAAATACATTCAACACTGTGTTAGCATAGACCTAAAATTAGCCAGAGTCATAGAAACTTTACTAACGATGTTACAAACATGTCAAAACCACCCAAAAATAAATACATGGATAAATGGGAGTTTAGCCGAATTGTTAAGGACCCATAAAAGAGTAACTGAAAAAATTCATTATTTCTATTTCAGAATGCTGTGCAGTTTTATATGCATACTTATCAAAAATAACATAATTCGACTATGGAGTTCTGTTCCGCGAACGCCGAAGTGGTATAACAGACAAAAAACTAATCCTAACGGTAAAATTAACAACCCTCCACAAAAGGATCCAAACAGCCTGAATATCAAGCAACTCACCGCTTAATTTGTAACGCTATATCAACTTCTCATCAAGTTTTGAGATGTAAAATCCAGACAGGTCCGCTCAAGCCAGGCAGAGCGGACCTGTTACTTTTGTAACAGCGCCCCCGGTGGCTGGATGAATAGACGCGTTGTAGGACGGCGAAAAGGGTTATTATCCGCAGTTATTTTTCATTTTTCATTTTTTTTTTTTTTGTCAAAATCCCCTAAGTACGGAAGCCTAGAGCAGACGTTTTCCGCATACACTTAGTTTTCTTGAGAGAACGAGTTAATCTCGATAAAGCAAACTTTGTTTTCTCAAGATCACAAGATGACAGATGTGTTAAAATATCATTAACAAATCCATCCTTCAAGAGGATTTTTTATTTTGAGAAAACAATCTGGAAAACATATATGTGGAAAACAAAAAATTAACTTATCGCTAGAAAACCATCTGGAAATGCACTCCTTATCTCAAGAAAAGCATCTGGAAAAAGTATATGTGGAACAGGAAATCAACTCAATATTTCTAGAAAACTTTCTGGAAATAAACTTATCTCAATAAAACCAGATGAAAATCATCTGGAAATTAACTCGTTATCTTGAAAAACCATTAGGAAACTGTATATGTTGTCTCCGTACTGCAGCTCTCTGGCGCCCCCCACTCTTTGAGAAAGCTATGCTAGATGTTTGTTGCCAAGGAGAGCTTCCTCTCCACCATCGCCACATACCTGCTCTGGAGGGGAAGTTACATTACAGTAAAGTTTCTAAAATTAGTCATTTCTTCCTTACTAAATATTTATTTATGGTTTTACTTCTTGGAAGATGTACAGAAACGGGATAAAAAGTTCAACGGAAACTATCAACAAATTAGTCAGAACTTTTTTCTCCTCAATCTGACTAAGAATTTCTCAAACATGGAGTCGGTTTTAAGTAACATGTTACACATGCGAGTCCGCTGACAAAGAGGGAAGTTGGCTGTTGTTCCATCTTTGTCGCCCCACGACATTGTCCACAAAGCTGCTGTAATAACATGCATCCTTTCTGCTGCAATCAGCGGGAGTTCACACACAGCTTCCTCTGACCTGCACAACACACACACACACACACGCGCACACACACACACAGATTGGATGCCCTAACAAATTAAAGAAGCGTTTGCAGCCACACCTCTCACTTCAAGAGCTTGTGAGGAGGTGGACGACATGCGAGGGTGGAGACGAGAGGGGACTCAGGGCCGGCTTTGAATGGCAGGAAATCCCTGAGATGTTTTCTGTTCTCCTCGCCACAACCTAACGTCCCGCTGGACCCGGTGGAGGAGGGAAACAACTGGATCTGTCACACGCTCACACTGCTGCTTCTCTCCCTCTTTCTTTCTATTTTACTTTCTTCCTTTCTTTCTGTATATCTGTCTGTCTTTACTTCCTTCATTCTTTCTTCCTCTTCCTTCATTCTTTCCTTCTCCATTCTTTCTTGTTTAATATTGTAATAAAATGAATATACAATGAATACATTGTGCATCTTCTTTTCCTTCCTTCATTCCTTTCCTTCCATTTTTTCTTCCTTCCTTCTGTCTCATATTGTAAAAAATTAATTTTTTTTGTATTCGTAAAACAGACACACTTTTATTCAACATGTTTGTTTCTTCCAAATCTAAAATTATATTTTGTCTACAAAGAAAATGAATATATTTCACATCTTTCTTTCTTACCATCTTCCTTTCTTTATTCTTTCCTTTCCTCTTTCCCTGACACACAAACATACATAAACATGTCGAACACAAGCCCTGTTTCTGCAGGCAGATGTCCTGGGAGAGGGAGGCCAACGTGCCCTTTCACTTAAAACAGCACACACACACACACACACACACACACACACACACACACACACACACACACACACACACACACACACACACGCACACACACAGACAGAGTGCAGTGTCAGTGGGCAGGGGAGTGTCCCTGTGCAGGAATGCGGAGGAATGATAAGTTGTGGAGGTGTCGGGGGAGAGACTCGGGCTGTTACAGCCAGACACCTAAAAACACTCCACCCAGCCTCCAGCTGCTCTCCTCCTTTTCTCTTCTGTACTTCCTTTAATGTTTTTGCTCGTCTTTCTGTGCGTTACCTCCACCTTCGCTTCAGTTCCTGGCACTGATGGTTCAACGATTTGTCTACTTTCACCTTCTCCCCTGAAGATCATTTCCATTTTTTTTCGTCTTTCCCTGTTTGTTTCTGCTTCTCTACAAAAATGTCTTGGATCATATTCAAATAAAACACTTGCCAGATGCTTCAGATAAGAGACTCTAGGACTAAAACTAATGACTCCTTTCTGAAAAAAAAAAAAAAAAAAAAAAAACTAAAATTGTCTTTTTGCCAGGAATTGCAGTTTTGTAGTTTCATGTTTAGGATTAAGGCATTAGGAGACAAGTGATGATTAGAGGTGAAATCCATCTATCTAGTCAATAGTTGTGCTTCCACTGACCATATAATTGCACAAATTGGAATTACAAACATGAATTTGCTTATTGGAAACACAACGATTTATAAAAACTCACATTTTTTGATGAAAAGTTTCTATGAGGGGATTTTTTGGCTGCATCAGAACTGCTGTTGAAACACTTTTTCCCATTATACAAATCACATGATCAACAAGCAGAGGGTATGACTGGAGAAAAAGACGAAGAAGACAGGAAGCAGCTTGAGGATGAAGGCGCAGCATGATTATCGCGTGAAAACAAACTTTTTCATATGTGATCGCGTTTCTTATTTAGTGGAAAGACCAAAATTAAAACATTGTGTTATGTCAACATTAGCAGATTATTGAGAAAGTTTTGCACATTTGTAATGGAAACACAGCGAATGTCAGGAGGACGTCAAACAGCATTGAGGAAAATATTAAAGTTGCTCAAGTCGCAGCATTTTAAGGAGAGAAAACAAAGTGTGACATAAAAGATAAAAATGATTTCTAAGGACTGTGGGGAAAAATAGGTTTACAACTGCGAATCTGTTGCTAACGTAAAGATATGTTTCACATTTTCAAGAAATCTGAACTACATTTGTCCACCTCAAAGTTTAAAGAACTTTGACTGATTAAAGCTGAATTGGATAATTGTTCCACTTCAAGCACAGTTTTACATTTGTAACAACAACAACAAAACAATTAGCAATGCTTTTTGGCATCAAATCCTTATGGAGTAAAAATCGTAATACAGTGACTTATTCTGCACTGATCACAGATTTTTTTTTTTATAAATGAATGATTCATAAAATGTTTGAGACAAAACTTTTAAAGATAAATAAATCAAACAAAAAGAGTGGGGGTCCACAACAGCCGGGAAATAGCTTAAAACACTTAGAGCTGCCCAATTTAACAGCTCAAACACCAAATGTACCTCAATATGAACAATATTTCTCTCTTCTTAAGGGTAATTAAAAAGTTAGTGTTGCTCTAATCAAACATTAACAAAAAGATTTTTACAATAGGTTTGTCCAAACTTTATCATGCATGTTGTAATTAGTTCGGATCCCGTTTTTGATGAACAATCTCTCACTATCTTTATGCATTCGCTCATTCATGATCTCCAGGTCACTGTGACATCCTGCAGCCAAAGTCATGCAGGAACACCAAGATCTTCCAGTGGTGCTGTGGCACGTAATGATTAAACGTTCTGGATCTGCAGAACATGAGCGTCCTCAGGTATGCACAAACTCGACAAAATCAAAGAAAGCGGACCACTTCGGTCTCTCCCCACATGGGGCAAAGTAATAACGGATTCCTCTTTAAGCCATTAACAGTTTATCAGGCCACACAGGCTGCTGCCAGCTGCACAATGGGAGATGGAGGAGTTACGACGCTGCTGGTTAATGTTAAGTAATTTTAGACTTTTGTGTGGCACCTGCAGAATGGACAGGAAAACATCTGAGCTCCAGTTTACCTCTTCACACACTGATGCACTAACGGTAACCCCAACAAACCCAGAGCTGGGATTTAAGAGCTTGCTATTCTCTGATTTTTTATGAGTTTAAATTTACAATAGAAAGCTCTTCAATGTACTGTTTTGTTTAGCATTTATTCTGATTTTTGTGTTGGTCTCTGATGCCTTTTTTAAGTGCTTTTTTAAGGCAGCAGCATGGCGGGTGACTCATCCCAATAAAAATTGGTGAATAAAAGCAGATGTTTAAACTTTCCCCTGCAATTAAGGTTAATTGCTGAGATTTCATGTCAGTGTTAAAGAAACTGGGATTGCCATGTTTTATTTGTTTATTTTGTTTATTTAAGGATACCCATTAGTCTCTACCATAGCAGAGGGTACACACCACATTGCAATAAAATCATGCTTTTACAAACAATGCAAGAAAGACATCAAAAGACACAAACAAAAGATTTTGTTTGTGAAAACACAAAAATACAAATCAACCGCCTCAATAATTTTAGCATAACTTCAAACCTGGTGTAGGAAATCAATATTCTCACTCATTTTATGCATGCAAACACACACACACACACACACATGTAACCTGCACAAAATAAGAAACCCGTATTTTATTTTGGCGGGTCAAACTGACAGCACCCTTTA